TAGTATCTTAGCTTTGCTCCCGAATTACCTTTCCACCATCACTATTCCTTATATGTAGCAACATTGATTTGATATTTGCTTTTCATATTTTTTTTTTTAGTTTTTTTTTTTCTATAGTTTTTTTTTTCTATAAACACGTATTGAGCTCCCACTCTGTGCTCAATATGCAAGTGCTACATAGCTGGAGGTCCACAGGATGAAAAACAATGATGATTTTTCATAACTACAGAAAGACATGAGACCTTAGGTTGAAAAAACAACAGCAAAGCTCAAGGAGGGAATTCAACTCCTCTACAACTGGAATGATCCATAATGACAGTAAATCTAACACAAAGAGGGAATCTTAAAGGCTGAGAGGAGGGCCAGATCACCTGTAGAAGGATGACTGTCTGATGGTCAGAGCATTTCTTAGCAGCCGTAGTAAATTCAGAAATAGGACCTTCTCGAACATACAAAGACTGGCAGAGTTTTTTACTCTCAGACTTGAACTGAAAGAATTGCTAAAAGTTGGATTTTAGAGAGAAAGAAATTGATCCCAGATGTAGGTTCCACCATGAGAGAGCAGTGGGCCAACGAAGAAGTTGGACATGTTCATAAACTTAAATGATCTAAGGAAATGGCTGCCTCTGTGTTAGGATTTGAATACAAACAAAATGTTTTTCCAATTGAATATGTAACTGCTTAGACTTAGTGCCGGTATTTGAAATTCTTCTGTTTGTGAGGAATTGTTTTCAGGGAAGGATTTTTAATCAGAGGTCCATGGATAGGGTTCAAAGCATCTCTGAAGTTCTTAAAATGATAAGTGACATACTTTGTGAATGTGGAGTCTTTCCGAAGACAGGATTCAGAAGTTTATCAGACTTTTAAAGGGATTTAGAACCTGGACAAGTTAAAGGACTACTGGATTATTGTATTGTCCCCCTATTAAGAAGAAAATACATCAGCACTTAACTTGCTCTGACAGTGGGATCGGAGCATCTGGATTTGAGTATCTGGATTTGAGTATCGGATCTGTCAGTACTTTGCAGAACCATTGAGACCCTGGACAGGTGATTTGCCTTCTGTCTGTAGTTCACACAGCACATAACCTGTGTGGCCACACACGGCAGTGGTGCATCTGGCTCTTGTGACCACATCTTACCATCACAGTCAGTGTTTGACGGTAGCTGTTAGGATTTTCGAAAGAGTCCCTCTTGAGCTATCAGAAGAAGCCAAGCTTCCTAGTGATCAACTTTAGACTATGATAATAGACTTAGTGCTGTTGTTTTGTTCAGTGGACACATGGTTTGTGTAATATGTTGTCCAAGTGTGCAGGAGTGAGCATGGGGGGGACGTGTGTGTTCAATCATTGTCTCTCCCAGTGAAACTTGATACTAAAGCAGCTATTCACTGGTGACCGGTGTTCCTTATGCTGTTAGAATGTAGTTGGAATGTAGGTCAGATGTGTGCATTTTGTGTGTTAATTTTAATTCTACTTCTCCACTCCTTCAGGAGTTGTTTACTAAGAACTAGAGTCAGGCCACTTATCAATGCTTCCGATGCTGCACTGGGTGTGGTCGTGGATGCAGAGTTGAGGACAGTGGTTCTGTCCCTGAGGAATTACCGTAGATTAGGATAGAGGAGAGCAGGTCACCACCAAATCATCATCCCAGCCTGAGACCTTCTCAGGCTGCTCCTAAAAGCAGGGTTTCCCCAGCCTGCCACTTGGGGTGTCAGCCCGCAGGTATAAGGAAGAGCAGAGGAGGGCGCGCCTTCCAGGAGGGCTGCCAAGGAGCTCGGGGAGCCTCGGATGTCAAAAATGTTGAAACATCTGTCTAGCGTGTGTCATTATGATCATAGTAACACGGTCTTTTTCTGAAGCTGTGACATTTGACATTCCCAGCCACTGATCAGAGAGCCCAGGTGTGTCTTCTTCCCTCAAAGCCCCTGGCCTCCTTTATCCCTGCCTCCTTCCCAGCACCCCCAGGGGCCGGGATAAAGTGTCCTAATCCTAGGACTGGGCAGCCCCATCCTACCGGGGAGGAGGTAGCTCCCAGCTCCACTTCTGTTTCCTGTCTGCAGAGCTGTTTCCTGTCTCATGACTTGGGTATCTCTTAGACGGCGAAGGGCAGTGGTTTGTCAAATGGTTACCTACAGCATGGAGCAGGTTAACTCACCTCTCGAGACAAGCATGTGATTCCTTGTCATGGATGGCATCCTTCCCTTTTCTGTCTGTAATGTTGGGACTTTCTCAGGGGTTGTTTGTTTGTGTTAGCTATGCCGTGCAGCAGGTGGGATCTTAGTTTCCTGACCAGGAATCAAGCCTTCACCCGCTGCATTGGAAATGCAGAGTCTCAACCACTGGACCACCAGGGAAGACCTGAGAGGTTCTCAGTTTGGATTGGATAAGATCATAAGCTCTTCTTGTTTTTTATAAGAAAAACATTTCTATATAGCTTAAATGAAATGATAAGGGCAGTAAGAGTGTTGAGATGGGACTTCAGTGGAAAATGCTGAATTTAGGCAGATAATGAAATATAGTCTCAGGTCTTCCAGCCTCCCTTCCTTCGTTATTTGTAATGTGATTATAACTCAGACTTCTACAAACACATTTAGAGAGAGAAAAAAATTCATTTAACTATGTTGTTGTTTGGTCGCTCAGTTGTGTCTGACTTTCTGCGACCCCACGGAGTAGCCCGCCAGGCTTCTCTGTCCGTAGGATTCTCCAGGCGACAGTACTGGAGTGGATTGCCATTTATTCCTCCAGGGGATCTTCCCGACCCAGGGATAGAACCCAAGTCTCCTGCATTGGCAGGGAGATTCTTTACTGCTGAGACACCAGGGAAGCTTAGTACAAAATATACATGTCTTTTTTTTTTTTTTACTATATTAACTATATTATGCTGTAATTTATAAATGAGATTTAAACTTGATTGTTTAATAGGTTGGGACTTAAAATTGACATTTTCTCCCATGTCATGTTACAGCTATATAATTTACCATAAAGATTGGCTTAAATAGTTTCAAAGATATCAATGTATTTTATTCTTTTAGTTAAATTGAAGTTACTGTTTTTAAAAATTTGATTCTGGCCTCTTCTTTGCTTCTCTCAAACCACCACTTTCTTTGCCATTCCTCGAACTAGTTGGAGAGTTTGCCTAAAAATAGAATAAAAATAAGTACGGTACTAGGTTTGTTTTTTTTTTTTTTTTTTTGGAGAAGCTAAAGGAACGTACAGTTAATATTGTTCTTCCCTGAAAATGGGAAACTGACTGTCTGAGCCCATGTTTTTCTTATCAGGTCAAACATGCTGTTAGTTAGAGATATTTGATGAAAGTAACAGCTATCCTTAGATTGTGTGTGTGTGTGTGTGTATGTGTGTGCACACGTGCACGCCCACACATGGTGTGACTTTGAGTGTGTGTAGACGCATGCAGAGCCTTGTTTGGGCGGTAGTGTGATTGAGTTGGCTGTTGGGCAGTACCGTCCTGACTACACAAGGCTTCTTTTCATCCTTTTCTCTGAAGTGCTCCCTTGTCTGTTTCTTTCCTGCGAGCCAGGAAGTCTCCCCGGCCCTGAGGCCGTGGCAGTCACTTGTGGCTGCCTCACTTGTGGCGTTAAGGGCCTCTTGCCCCTGTCCTTTGCTGCCGTGGTCACGAGGTGTATTGGATTCGATTCTACGCCTCGTGAGGGTGACAGCGTCAGCGGCGCGGCTCGGTCCCTGCCATGGCACAGCCAGTGCTCCGAGGCTGCGGTGCAGCGACTTTACATCGCCTCCTGCTCTTCTTGCTGAAACCACCCTGGGACGCTGGAATCATGCATCCCACACATACTTGGGTGTCTGTCCTGTGCCAGGCACCATTCTAGGTGTGTGAGACGCCTCTGTGTAAACCACGAAAGGCACCGTGCTCTCGGCGTTCACGTAGGCTCCGCGGTAACTTCTGAAGGAGGAGGAACTCTTCACCTGGGATGTGAAGAGTTGTTATGACGGGGTACTCTTCAGCCTAGCCTGGGGGTCACCAGTGAGCTCTTGAGGGGTATGGCAGTGGGCTGTGGGGGTGGGTTTAGTAGGAGATGAGGATGGAGAGAAGAGATGGGTAGGGCCGTGAGTGCGGGGGCCTTGAGCGCAGGCTAAAGGGTCTGTAAGCAGAGGAGTCAGGAGCCCTACAGGATGGCAGTGACACATGTATGTCACTCTGTCTGGGGACCTCACCTCTGTTTGGGGAACATACCTGACGGGGGGCCTGGGCTGACCTGAGAGCAGGAGCTGGGGGCGGCAGAGTGCAGGGCTGGGTGATCTTCCATTTACTCTTTTTACTCATTCAGCATGTACTTAGCTGGGGCTTGCCTTGTGTTTATATTTAGAAGCAATTGCTAATCTTAGATGCTATTTTAAGAAGAGTGGAACCAATTTATGCTCTATCTCATCTTTCAAGCTTGAAGTTTACATTTTGGGTTTTTTGGGGGGCTAAGGGACTGAAAGATCCATATTTATGTTGGGGGGTGTGGGAGGGGTTGGACATCTCAATCTCTTCTGCAAAGTGTCTCTTGCTCTTTGCCTCACTGGTCAGGGTGGGAAAACTGTAGCTGTCTGCTCTGCGGTGAACACAGGTAACGCCGGACCCTCACAGTGGCTGTGACTAATTCAAGATTTAATTCAGAGGAAATGCATTTCATTGATACTTCCTGATAAGAGCTACAGACATAAAACTGGAAGACGTATAATGGGTTGCTTTGACAAAAACACTTCTGTCCTGAAGGAGACCGCTCACTTCTCTTGGTCAAGGAGGGAGATTGATTGCCTTTTAAACCTGTTATGTTTGTTATTCACTGTACTTTTTTTTTTTGTAAGGTAGGAAGTGATGTCCTTGAGACTGAGTTAAATGCTGCTCAGCATGAAAGATGTGATGCAGAGCTAGAGTCTGCAAACTGTGACTCACTGACACACCCCTGGCTACTGAGAAGACCGTGTGTACTCCGCAGCAGAGCAAACACTCATGAAGGTTCTCCTTCTCTCCTAGGACTTCCTTTGCCGGGCATCTGGCTGGAATTCTTGTTGGACTGATGTACACCCACGGGCCTCTGAAGAAGATCATGGAATCGTGCACAGGTATGGAGCAGAACAGGGCTTCTCCACTGGCTCAGTGGTAGGGAATCCACCTGCCACCATGCAGGAGACACGAAAGGCACTAGTTCGATCCCTGAGTTGGCACGGTCCCCTGGAGAAGGAAGTGGCACCCCACTCCAGTGTTCTTGCCTGGAAAATCCCATGGACGGAGGAGCCTGCAGGCTGCAGTCCGTGGGGTTGCACAGAGTCGGACACGACTGAGGAACTGAGCACACAGCCCAGAATACCTTGGCATGACTAGTTGGAAGTTCATCTTCATTTTAATGGGAATAAAGGCAACCCCAAGTTTCCCTGTGACTCAGCTTAGGAATTCCCTGATAGGCTCTTTTTAAACTAAGAGGTGAACCAGCGGGTGCTGGTCCTTGGCTCCAAAAAGGAGACTGAAACCCCCAGTTTTAAACCTGCTGCTTTCTTAGGGGACAAATGAGGTACACACTTACACCCACAGCATTATTGCCACTCACTGAAAACCACTATTTCCTTGAAATTCAGAGAACTAAAGCAGGTTTAAAATATGCTTTCTTCTGTAATATTTCATGAATTCAAAGTGCAAGGCAAAGTTAAAAAAAGAAAGACAAATCTGTGTTGAAGTACAAGGTCAGTATTTTAAAGAATTCAGAATGACTACTAGGTCCTTGGCACGCAAGACATATATTCATGCATGGCCAAACCAAGTCTGTTATTCCTGAAGCATGGCTCCTGCTTTTTAATTAAAAAAAATTTTTCCCTTCTAATTTCTGCTCAATGAAAATACTTTATTTTACTTAGGAAACCTATGAATTTTTTGGCTCTCTTAATTGAAAATGCTATACTAGTTGTGATTTATAAGGAAACTGTTTTGCCAACACTTGTTCTATAGACCATATGAGTTCCAATATTTCATCTTTTACTCATGGGGAATCTTCTGAGACTATTTTACCTTCTTTTGAACCATAAATAATTTGTTTTCACTATTTGTGCCGATGACTGGTATTCTTACAAACTGTATAATATTCATGATATTAGAAAGCTTTCCAAACATTGTGCCCTTGCCTTTATTAGCTGGTTGTATTCACTTTTGGGTGATTTTTACAGACTGTGTTGCATCCACACATGTTTTTATTTTCCTACGTTTGCATCTTACTGTTTCTGGTGTGTGTGCCTGGAGGAGGCCGCCAGGAGCTTCCTGTATTGAAAATGTAGAGTTTTATTATATTTTTGATACAATGTAATTATGGAAATCCAGTTATGAGTTTTGTTGCCCAAATGTCCTCGGTGCTGATGGAAAAGAAATAATTCTTGGGAGTCTGATATTTTGTTTCCTTTTTGTGTGGGGGTGTCTGAGGATTGAGTGGTTAGTAAAGCTTTCTTACAGACATACTTTGAAATTTAGGCAAATATTTTGTTTTTACAGAGGATTTCCCCCATAATTAGAACATTTTAACTTTTAGTTTCCTCCTTGAAACCTTGCCTGTTTTCTAAGGAGACTTATTTTTATATAATTCTATTTTCAGTATAATAAGTAGAAAATTGAATACTAGAACTTGAAACATTCAGTGCTGTTCAGGAATAGCCTGCAATCTCTGCCTTTTTTTTTCCGGCAAAGCAGGAGAAATATCTAGAGTGATTTGAGAACTGAGGTGCCACAGGAGCCCTGTGGAAAATACATGAAAGCGGCTGTCTAACAGCTCCTGGGTAAGGAGCATCACGCTGAAGGTGTTGCCTGTTACTCTTCCCTCTCTCCTTTCCTTCAGCAGTGCTGAATTTTCTGTCCTATTGCCCTTTTAGGGGTAAGAAACAGGAAAGTCCCTTAGGAGGGGTAAGAACATGGCTCACAAACACTCTTGTTATGCGACATGTTCTCTCTATAGCCAGAGCATCTCTACTTGTACAGAGATCTCAAAGACCAAGCTTGGTCCCGTAGAAGGCAGAGACCATCTTATGTTGTCAGGAACCTTAAGGAACTTCAGAGAATATAAGTTAGAGTTTCACTGTCCCCACCACGTTCTGTTCCCTGTAGGACTAACCCCAAGCAAAAGAATATATTTTAATTGTTCAGAAATTATTTATAATGACTTTGAGCTTTGTTACAAAGAAGCTAGTAATTGTTGGAAAGAATGGTAGTTACAGCTTTAGGGCTATTCTATTTTCATTCCAGTACCATCCTGTTTTGTTTACTATCATTTTATAGTATATAGTGGGCTTCCCAGGTGGCTCAGTGGTAAAGAATCTGCCTGCCAGTGCAGGAGACAAAGAAGACACGGGATGGATTCCTGGGTCAGGAAGATCCTCTAGAGAAGGAAATGGCAACCCACATCACTAGTCCTGCCTGGAGAATCCCATGGACAGAGGAGTCTGGCGGGCTACAGTCCAAGGGGTCGCAGAAAGCTGGGTATGACTAAGTGGGCACGGCTGCGTGACTGGACACACACACGTACACATACTGTTTTGTTTACCGTAGCTTTATAACATCAGTCGCAGTCAGGAGTTGTTAAGACAGCTATTATCAAAAAGACAAGAGATAACAAAGTTTGGTGAGGATGTTAGTGAGAATGTATATTGGTGCAGCCGCTATGGAAAATAGCATGGGGAGTCCTCAAAAAATACAAAACAACACTACCGTATGATCCAAGTTCCTGACAGCATTTGTTCACTATAGCCAATATAGGGAAACATCCCAAATGCGTGATGAATGGGTGAAGAAAATGTGGTATGTGTGCATGTATAATGGAGTATTACCAGTCATAAAAAGGAAACTAGTCCATTTTTGACAAAGTGGGTGAACCAGGAGGACATTGTGCTAAGTGAAATAAGCCAGATAATTAAGTATGTTGTCACTTACATGTGAAATCTAAAAACGCTGAACTCACAGAACCAGAGAGTAGAACAGTGGTTTCCAGGGGGTGGCAGGTGGGATAAATACAGAGATATCGGTCAAAGGGTACAAGCTTTCAGTTATAAGATGAGTAAGTTCTGAGGATGTAATGTTCAGCATTGTGACTATAGTAAATAGCACTTTATTATACTTGAAATAATACTGGAAATTTACTAAGAGAATAGATCTTACATTTTCTCATATGTATACACACACAATAGCAAGTACATAAAGTGATAGATGTGTTAATTAACTTAATTGTGGTTATCATTTCATAATATATATGTATTAAATCATCCCATTGCACACCTTTTAAAAAAATCACTACCAACCTAAACATGTACAATTTTAATTGGTTAATCATACCTCAGTAAAACTGGCAATAGGGGTTAGGGCAGAGTTTATGGCTACAATTAAAATGTTTTTTTTTTTTCCTTCATATTTAGGCATTTTCCCCTCTAATATTGATTACCCAGGACAGCAGTACTACTTTAATAGTTCAGGTAAGTAACTTTATTTCATTTAATACAGTTAAACTTGTTTTTAAAAATTATACTGTTTGTTACTACAGAGCTCCCGTAAGGTAATATGAGTTTATGCTTCTGGAGACTACACCAGATATTAGGTCCTTGTGCCTCTAATGTCCCTGGAACCTAGATGCAGGAGGGGGGGGGGGGCTGTCCAGGGAACATATTTGGATGCGTTGTTAGGGAAGGAGGGAACTCTAGCAAGAAAATGTTAAATGATTGGTTTGAGGTTTCTCGGACATGTTAAGATTTATATGAGAAACAGGCCCCTTGATACTCAGGTTAAGAGACCATTCACTGGCTAAGTGTTAGAAGATACTTTCATATATACAGTTCTCCACGGTCTACTCCACCTACATATTCAGGAAGAATCACACTTACTGTAAGAAGCTAAGATAGGCATTCCTCTAATAGTTAAAGAGGAGAAGGTATTTTTTTCTAGAGGTCTTTGTAAATAGGTAGAAAGGACTTCCTGTTGAAGCATATGGCCTGTTTTAAGCTAAAACCCTTACATTCCAGCCTGACGAGGCTGCACTGTAATATCCTGGATCAGTACCAGCAGACAAGCGTCAAAGAACCTAAGCTCCAGAGGCAGTGGGTGGCTTTATAGTCCTGCCTGTCGAGAACCATTGCAGTTTAAATATGGAGTCAGCAGCCTTTCCTGTAAAGGGCCAAGTAGCTACTGTTTGAGGGTCTAAAGGCTTTGTTGACCATATATAGTTTTTGTCTCAACTAGGCAACCTGTCGTCATAGTATGACGACAGTCATACACCATTCAGTCAGTCAGTCATGTCCTATTCTTTGTGACCCCATGGCCTCTAGCATACAAGTCTCCTCTGTCCATGGGATTTTCCAGGGAAGAATACTGGAGTGGGTTGCCATTTCCTCCTCCAGGGTATCTTCCCAACCCAGGGATCGAACCCGTTTCTTTGCATCTCTTGCATTGGCAAATGGGTTCTTTACCACTAGTGCCACCTCGGAAGCCAGCCATACACTATTCATAAGCAGATGCCCTTAGTTGTGTTCCAATAAAACCTTATTTATAAAAACAGGCAGTGGGCTGTATTTGTGCTCCGACTTGTAGCTTTTTGACCCCTGGCTTAAATAATACAAGTACAAAGAATTATATAATTAGATCCATATTGGTGCTTCTGCCTTATTTTCCCATACAGTTTTCTGATCCTCAGTCTGGTTTTCCCAGCAGCACTCTGAGAGTGGTCATGCTGTGTATGTTTGTCAGCCTGACCACTGTGGGAGAGAGAGAAGCAGCTATAGTCCTTGTCTCAGAGTTTGTAACCGGAACTTGATTGTAGGTGCCATGCATTTGGAAAGGCAAAACAGTAGAAGCGAATAGGAATAATCTGGGTGTAGAAAATAGAATGGTGAACCATGGAGTCAAGTAGTACAGAATAACATAATGATAGTTAATGTTCAACAAAATCTCCAATTGACCCCAGGAAGATTTCTGGAGGTTTTTCTGTACACATCATTTTCTCCTTTGCTGTATTCCGCCCTGCAAATTCCACCGCTACTCAGGGAGCCTGCTGCATCTGGCTGTGTCCCTCCCTGCTCCCCAAACCACAGTCTAGAGAGTGCCTTCAGGCTCATTTCCTTTATTTTCCTTCTCTCAAGATTCAGAATCTTGAAGTGCCAATTATACAATGCCTGAAAACATCCATCTTATGTGTTTTCTGCCTTCTTCTACTTGATTTGGTAGAAGATCTCTTCCAGCCCCAGTTGCTCCTTCCTGGCAGAGGTAGGAGTCCGTTTCAGAGATAATAATGCAGTGCAGTCAGCTCTCCGCCTGGAAGGGAGGGAGCAGGCTTGCAGTTACCAGAGGTCGTCTAGAAGAGGTGCAGTGCTGGGTCTTTATGCCTTAAGTAAGCATCCTTACTTAACTTGATGGAGTTAAGGAAAGCAGTGAAAGGGAAGGGCTTGTCAACCCTTTATGAAAAAGCCTGCCTGGAATTATCCAGAATGTAGTGGAGTGCCACTGAAGGATTTACTCCGTAGAATGATACTGTTAAGAGTTACAATCAAGATATGTTTTTGATGTAGTTGTAAAGGCTTGGATCATGATGGTCAAAACTTGGCTGTTTATGTGAACCACTTGAGAAGATTTTACAATGTGTCCATGGCTTGAATTCAACCCAGACCAGTTAAGTTATAATTGGGGTAGAGACAGGGACTTGGACCTTTTTTGTTGTTGTTGTTGTTTAAAAAAAAAAAAGCTTCTCAAGTGATTCTAATGGATTCAGGAAGAAAAATCATAGGCTTAGATGGTTGGGATTGCCTAGGCTTATGGACTGCAGTGATGAATACTGTTGTTCCCCGGCGGCTTCACTCTGAGGCTTTCACTTCTGACGCTCTGGATGCTTAAAATCCTGGAACTGTGGTCTTGGTGCAGGAGAGGCACAGTTGCTACACAGTGCAAGCTCACTTGCTTCTATCTGAACTCACCTGACAAGAGGAGGTGTGATGATTAGTTGTCAACAGAGCTGATACAGTCTTATGGAAGGACACTGGGTCCTTTTGGTTGTTGGTTATGGAGGCCAGCTCACACTGACTTAAGTTTGAGTAGAGGTTTCTCAGCCCATGTGACTTGGAAGAGGTGAATGATACAGTAAGACCGTTTGGGCTCTGTCTCCCATCGTGATTTCTCTCTTCCTATTGGCCTTATTCTCTCCAGTATATATGGCTCCTAATACCTCAGAGTGCTAAAGGAAAAGGGACTTCTCTCCTGGTTCATTTTTTAAATCTCCAAGAGAAACAGGAATGATCCTCTGGATGAAGAGAATAATAACATATTTGTGCACAGACGTGGCTTGAACTATCATAAATGACCTCATCCCAACATCTTCTGTGACAGTTGGGAATTGAGGTTTAAAAATGTTAAATATTTTGGCTAAAGTCCTACAGGTACTTAGCTACACCACTAGGACTAAACATGCCAGTCATTGATTCCTAGCCCCTGCTGTTTCTCTTGTATAGGGGTATGACATAGGCATTCTACTGATTTAACCTTAGCAAAGAGGGCAGTTTCCCTTACTGACTTGGCTTTCATCTTTTTTGAACTTACTAAGGAAAAAGGGAAACTTGCTAAAAGCCTCTTTCATATGAAAGAGGCATCAGTAGAGCAGACACACAGCCCAGAGATTGAAAGGCAACAATAAAAGCCCCTCTTGCCTTCCTTTCCTACCCCTTGAAAGATTACCATATTTATATTTCTTCCTCCGAAGTGATTGGATTTCTTCAAAGGCAGCACTACATAAGGCCAGGTGGCCATGCTAATGGTCACCTAGGGAACTTTTATGAGAGCATATGTATCTCTTACAGGCAATGATTTATTCTGAATATGGCTGTCCTTAGCTGGAAAAGAATTTATAGGTCACAGAACCTCATGAATGTTTAAAAAGCTGTTACCAATCTTTCTGATCTTGGTGGTATTTCTTGATCTCTTTTGCCATGAAATCCTGGTATGTGTATAGGGAACAGATGGAGTAGTTTATAGAATAATGATAACCAGAATTTCTTTTATTACAGAGCCAAAGTATATAACTACAAAAGAATATTAGACTAGCATTCATCGCAGGATATAATTTAAACTTATTTATCTTAAGTGTTTGATAGTTAGGTTTTTCCAGCCATGTTTATTATGAAGATTTAAAAATATCTGATTGGGCCAGTGGAACAGCTGTAGGAAATTTTTGGTCCTCGGAGACCTGTCCTCATTGTAATAGATATTGATGGGTCCTGTTGATAACTTGGGACTGATCATGTAGAACGTTTAACCACACTAGTCTTTTTGACTTAAAGCACTGAAACTTTCTCTCTCCCCATGTTTTGTCTGGCAAGTACCAAATTAGATTTTATAATATTCAGATGTTTAGAGTTATAGGCTTTATTTTGTGAAGGCACTGCTCAGTTGCGCTTTAAATAAGAAATAACATGAAGAAAGATGTTCATCTCTATCAAGAAAGCATTGCCTCAAATCGTAGCAAATTTATCTATCAATTGAAACTCCACAGATGTATGTCGTGTTTCTGGTATCTGTGTAGATAGGTATTCAGAGCTTTGGGGCCATTTTGGATTTTGAATTAGCTGAATATTTTTGAGGGTAGGTAGGTAGAAATGCTGCTTAGACCTTCTGCAACAAAATGACTTTCCACAGGGATTTGGAAGTGGTAGTGAGCCATATGGGAAAGCGACAGTGTGCTTTTAGTGTTGCACTCTTAGGGGACTGGGTGGTCTCTCTATTCAGGATTGCTGAAGCATCCTGGGCTATTTAGTGACTTGTCCATAAATATTCTACTATGTACTGGAATGGTTGCCCCTGTCTTTTTGTTCTTTGTAAAGTAGATGTATTTATTATGTATTGATCATTTGTCCTTATGTGAAAGGTTTGGGGAGTTGTTGTTGTTGTTTTTTTTTTTTTGCTTTTCGGTGAAAAGTACAGAAAGCAAGGTTTGTAGCAGTGCCATAGTCTCCTTTATCTTAGGATATGAAACTTGCTGGTATGTGTTCCTCAACACAGTAGTGGGAGCTGAATTTTTCTGATTGTTCTGTTGAGTAGAAACCAGTTTGAGGAAGAGTGTTCATATTAAAAAATTGTGTCCAGATCCCATTTCAGCCCTAAATCATTGAGGGGATTTGAGGATATATCCTTATCCTGATTTAAATATCATAATGTTTATATTTTGACATGGGAAATGTGAGAGAGAATACAGAAGTTGGGTTACTGGAGGTGTTTGGTAAATTCCCATTAATTTCTGGGCTTCCCTGGTGGCTCAGCTGGTGAAGAAAGTAAAAGTGAAAGTCACTCAGTTGTGTCCAACTCTTTGTGACCCCATGAACTATAGTCCATAGAATTCTCCAGGCCAGAATACTAGAGTGGGTAGCTGTTCCCTTCTCCAGGGGATCTTCCCAGCCAAGGGATCAAACTTAGGCCTCCCATATTGCAAGTGGGTTCTTTACCA